CTACAGTCTCTTCTCCCTCCTGGTGCCGGCTGCAGTGGTCTGTGCCCCCACTGCCTCTGCTGATACAGGCGGGGATTGAAAGGGACACAGACCACTGCAGCCAGCAACAGCAGTGAGAAGACCGGAAGAGCAGAGCAGCGACAACTAATCGTAAAGTAACTAATCAATGAAAATCGTTGCACCGATTGTCAACGATTATATTCGATTAGTTGTTGCAGCCCTAGATACTTGACCACTCTGTTCAACGACCAGCTCATCTGGCTTATACCTGGTATCTTTGGGTAAGGCGGAAACACATGCAAATCCCCCTGCTTCCCTATACTGTAATGTAGCACTTGGTGTCTGAGCAGCCAGTAATCAGGGTTCTCTTCTATGGCTAATACAATATGAGGTGAAGGAACACCCCAGGTTCAGTGGGGAACACCTGAAGCATGCAAACAATATATCACCAATGATCCTGCGGTTCCTGTGCGTGTTTTAGTAATCATGAGGAAACCCAAACTGAACCATAACCTAGAGACTATGACAGGAGATCTTGTTGCTAAATCAACCATTGGGGTAATTCCACCTTTTTAGAATCCATCTACAACTAATGTTTGGTTGGACCGACTAAAGATTTTTATTAAATGGCATGCATTTGTCTTAGAGCAGCAGAAAACACTTCAGAAAAGATGAAATAAGCATATGTAGTGATTTATATACATGCCAGCTGCGATTCATGCCTTTATTTCAGTGATACATCTGCCACTGATCATGTGCTGTATTACCCATTTGCCTGCTTTTCTTGGCATCAGTTGCAGTGCTTGTGTATGGGTACAGCTGAGTAGAGGTGGCTAATGCTTGCTGCTTGGCTTTAAAGTAGATCAGCATTGCACCCTAAGGCTGGCTTACTGGCTCCTGTAAACAGAAAGGAAAGAAAGGAAAACTGACCACTTTGTATTGCTAATGTTCCTAGACAACACTTCTCCGCATGCCTGCATTCTTTATCGGAGGAGGAGATGATTAATTTACATACTCAATGACGCACATACCCAAGTATACATCTGTGCATTTGTTGACATGAAAACCAATATAGTTGGTGTTCAATCGTGAAAACGGGATTGCATCATAATATGTTTAATACGTATCGATGTCTGTATGATGAGCCGTCTTTTTCTAAAATGCTTGCTTCTGATTTCTAATGGACACGAATAGATGAACAGCTACGATTTGACTGGCCAATACAAGCATTATTTTTCCTATCTATAGGCTTGTTTTACAGAATACAATGTACATGTTGAGTTTCAGTTTTGCCACTTCTGTGACCCCCAATACAACCAATTCCTGGATTCATTGGTGGCTCTGGGAAACTTCTGCAATATTCCTCACATGTAATTGCTTTGTTCTCGCACATCAGATAGTGAACCATAATTCAG